CGAACCCAGGCAATGACTAGGTTCTAAAAGCTAATATAATTTAGATCTAAGAATTAGCAAAATATTAGAACCTCAAATCCAAGCAATGACCGGGTTCTAAGATCTAATAATATTAAGGCCTAAGAATTAATAATGTTAAGGCCTAAGAATTAGCAAAAAATTAGAAACTCAAACCCGGTTAAGGACCGGGTCTTAAGAGCTAGTTTTTCATCATCTAAATTACTACGTAGGTTACTATACCTTTTTTGAATTAGATTTATCTTAATTAGATCACTAATAATCATACGTATGCACTGCATCTTTTTTTTCAAAGATAGTAAGATATAACAAGTATATTTTAAATTTAGAAGCTATGCACTGCCACAAGCCTTATAAAATTTTAATTACCAGAAAAGTTTGTGTAAAGATTTGTATAAAACCTGTAATATTTTATCTAAATCATTCAGAAAGATGTATCTGTCTTTGCCTCATTAGACAGAATCCTGAGCATGTGAACATACTATTTAATAATATACAAGATTTTGTACACGTTATCTGTAAACTATACACTTCGTACTATGCTCCTGGTATGGCTTATCAGGCAAGCCACCTCTTAAAAACAAACCAATTGAGTTAGCAACAATATCTCTGTAGTATTTTTTTTTGCTTTCTGCAATAAAATTTTTAATTTTTTTTACCAATCCTTCTGCTCTTATACTTGATTGCTTTTGTGTTGATAAGATGGCCACCAAAACCATTTGTACAGGTATGCATAGTCAAGCAAAAAATTTTGTCTCTAATATTGAGCGATAGGGCCTCTGACTATGTATGTTGTGAAAGTTAGTACACAATTACTATTTAGTAGCCCAGTACTTTGGCAAAGTTGATCCGTCTGGTCCACAAAAAAATATGCAATCTATTTATCTTTTATAATATGTTAAATTATTATTTCGCTAAAATATTAATTGTAACAATGAAATTAAATTACTTCATTTTAGTTCTTATTATTGTTATTTTAAATGCTTGCTTGACAACTGCCTTGACCGTTCTCTTACAGAAAAGAAAGAATTAATATAGTAATTAACACAAAAGAATTTAAAGAATCGTAAAACTAATCAAAAAAAAAAGCCAATCTATAATGAGCGGCATAGAAAATAGTTAGTATGATTAATTGAAGATAATATATATATTTAAAGGTAGGCTTAAGAAACATCAAAAAAGAAAGAAAATTAAATTAGTACAGATCTTCACTGGAATCAAAAGAAATATTCAAACTTAATTTAACTTATCAGTATTATTAGATGTTCAATAACTCCAAGTAGATGCTCCAGAATAACTTTAAAAACAAAGTCCAAATCGAAAAGTATTAGTGGTTAGTCACCATGATCTAATAAATCAAATATAAAGTACTTACAGCTTTCAATATGGCAATATCATTCAATAATCTCTCTTCTAATGCAGCAGCATTACCACTTCCCTTCATATGGGCGGAACATGCTCATTTTGTTATTAAAATTAATCACATTAAAATAAGTGATATAATAATATTAATTTCAGCTTATTTAATCATATCTAAATTGATTAGGCTAAATACTAATACATAACCAAATTGTACTATCTTATTGCGATGTGGTTATATTTAGCACAAAATGAGCACAATCCGCCCATAGGTTCTAGTCAAAATCATTAAGTAACTTAGAAATATTTATTAATGATATTTTTCTTGCTTAACATTTTCAATTATAACCTTAGTATTGTATTGCTCCACACCATTAGAATTGTTTTTAGAACCACTTTTTAAAGATATCAGTCATGTTTTTGATCAAGGCTTGGTTAAACGTTTTTGCAAAGAATTTTTAATATCAATCTGAGAGCCAAGTGTAAGATATACTTTTATTTCTAACACTAATTAATAGTGATGATAATGAAAACAGTGTTTGAAATTAGTGTTCTCAAAGAACACTATTATATATTTTGGCATAGTATAACTTTTTTGCTATTTACTATTAAAATTTTTGAGAACAGTAATAATAATAGTATTATCATACCAAGTCAGAAACTAATATATATTATATTTGAAATATAAAATCGTAGAACATATACTGGGTATTTATATAGTGAATATTTTTATCACATGTACTGTATTTCATATAATTGTGTAACAATTAAATAAATTAAATTATATATTTAGATTACGGAAGGTCTTGAAGGGAACTAAACTTATTTTGGCTTTCTATTAGCCATGAATGCAGGAGTATTGTGCTTGATACCGGTTCTTCACTAATGGATGCTCTATTACTAGTAATAGTAAAACCTGCTCTTGAAAAGGCCCTTTCACTAGAAACACTTGAAGGCTTAATATACAAATAATTGCGTGCCATTCTAGCAAGTATTGGGAATCTTTTTGATAAAGATTCCCAAAGTATTATTCCTTTATTTTCTCTTTTTTCATTATCTAAAATCTCTTCAAGGGGTTCAATCTCATATAATTCTAATTCAGCTTCAATTATATCTGGACATTTTTATTTATTTGACATTCTTCTTCTAGGATATAAGAAATCATCCATAGAATTATCATTAATTTCAACAGTTCTAACTTTTTCAATAGCTTTAGCTATTTCAACAGCTTTACTTGTATATTTCATTCCATATGAAATAATTTTTATCTGAATATTCTCAACAAACAATTCCACATCATTTTCACTATATCTACTAACTTTAATTAAGGTTGCATATAAGTGCTCTAACTTATATCTTGGGTCTAATACATGGGCAATTATAACATAGTCAATTATTATGTTCCAATATTTGTCAAATTTTTGTGATATGTCTTAGCTTTTTTATTAATATGCTATTTAATTTTCAATATAACTGTTATTGCATCAGAAATCAAATTTGATCGTTCTTCAGAAAGAGCTAACATAGCATTCTCAAATGGCTTAAGGAGCTGACAGAACTGTTCAAGGGCTATAAGTTCTATATCATCTAAACATGGGAGGCATTGATAGATCTTTTAAACACATGTCTAGAATTGCTGGATGTAGGTAAAGATATCTTTCAAATATAGCTAATGTTGAGTTTCAACGTGTATCTATTTTGAGAATAGGTCGCAAAGGATCTATTTTAGAAATTCGGCAATATAATTCTAATACTTCCAATCTACTACTAGCTAATGGATTAAATAAGTATTTCATAATTTTATAGACTTTTTTTTGTAATGAACTTATTTCTTCTTCCTTTAAGCTTTCTTTAACAACAAGCTTGAGAATATGGCACATGCATTCTAAAAAAAAAAAAAAATTATATATATATCTAAACTTATATAATTAAAATCAGAATAATAATATTAAAGCCAAACCTATTGATATTAAATCTTTATTTTGCAGCTTATTTTGAAGTAACCTGCTTATAGCTTTATTTGTAATAGTATTATCCATTGTAAGTATGAATATCTTTTCTTTAATAGAATATGCTTCCAAGGTGTCTATTATTACTGATGTTATTTATTCTGCTGTTTGGCCAGATTTTTGAAATCTTAAGATTATATTAACTACTCTCCAATTATTATTAATCCATGATCCAGTAACAACAGTATAATGGCATCTATGAATTGTCAAATGCCATCCATCACACGTTAGTGAAACTTTTCCTAAAGACTTAGCTAGTATATCTTTGACAAAGTTGAATCTTTAATTAAATATATTGCTGGTAAGGTGTCATGATATTGTAGTCGAATATGGAATTTTATATAATTTTGTAACATGACAGAGGTTTTGAGCTATTTGATAAAATAACAAATTATCAAGAATACTGAAAGAAATTCCTGTTCTGACAACAAAGTCAACTATTGATTTATCTATTTCTCCTTTTGTAATTTGCTTGAATACATTACTTTGAGTCTCATTTAATAGAGAATTAGGACATTTCAAAGTATGAGTTTTTAAATATGATCTACTAGTTTTTATTGAAAACTTCTTATCTTTGCAATGCTTGCATTGCTAAGTTCTTTTTTCATCGTTTGTTATAACTTCCCAGTGATCATCAGTAGAATACGTATTACCAACTACTTCTGATCCAACTTCGCTTGGTGTTGAGACACCAGAAATAGAAGATGTTGTCAAATCTTCCATCATTAGATTATATAATTTAAAGCAAAAAAAAGGTAAGACAAGAAGATGAATTTAAAAAAGTAATGTAGTGTGAAAGTAGAATGGTTAGAAAAAGCAATATAAAACGTGAGAGTAGATAGAGATATAAGATGAAGTAATACAAAGGTTAGAAAAAATATCAACTGTAATGTTATTTATACTTTTTTTTTACTTTTTTCTTTTTTTTATCGACTTATTTAACTTATTTTATTTATTTTACTCGATTATTTATTTTTAATATTAGCTATCTGACAAAACCACTTTCTTAATTTTTCAACTAGAACACTTATTTGGATTATTTATTTATTTATTTAACTCATTCACCTATTAGATATTTGAGCATTTGATTTATTTAATTCAGATCTATTTTATTATCACCGACAATTACTACAATTATTCACCAACAAATTTATTTTACCAACAGTCTATTTTGCAAAAGCTCATCTCACTGACAATTTTTTTCTAAAAAAAAAAAATTGTGCAAATTCTAATCTGACCCTAACCTAACAATATTACATTGTTGTTTAATGTGTTTTGGTAAATAGACTGTAAAATGAACTTGTTGGTAAATAGTTGTTGGATCTCATTTATATTTATTTATTAATTTTTTTTTTTTTTTTTTTTTTTTTTTTTGGTATTAAGGTAACCTCTTTGGTCTGGGGAACTTTTTATTAAAGTATAGATGAAGTTTTATATGTAATTACAACGATGGTACATCAAGCCACACGTGCACCTTTTGAGTGCCTATTTAA